GTGTGTGTGTGTGTGTGTGTGTGTGTGTGTGTGTGTGTGTGTGTGTGTGTGTGTGTGTGTGTGCGTGTGTATGTGAGACGTCCCTGTGGTGTGGCGAGATGGCGGAACGAGGGTGGGGTGTGCGTGGGCGGAGTGGTGGGACGGTGGCGCACAGACAAGCCAGTTCCGGATTGTCACTTTATCCTCGGGTGATTCTTTTTTCGTCTGGCCGATCCTATTTTTAAAAAGTCAGACTTTTGCGAGGTCTTTTTATAACGCGTTTCACAGTGACAACGCTTGTGTGCAAGCCTAACCTGAGGCCATTTGTTGTGCTACATTCACGGCAGCAGGTTTTTTTTTTTTTTTTTTTTTTTAATCCTTCCACCCCCTGCGCAGATTTAATGAAGCAAATTAGGTTGACCAAAGGGCTTGTTATTTCCTTCATGCTCCCCTTTCAAATTTCCACTGCCTTTTATGGCCTATTGACTTTAGTTAATAGGCCAGTGATTGTGGCCATGCAGTCGCTTCTTATTGGCGCTGATAACGTATCAAACTGCAAACACATGAAGTCGCTGCGCTCCGTCTGCATTGAATGCGCTTGTGTGAAAATGGGTTGCTTTATTTATTTTGGATTTTTTTTTTTTTTTTTTTTTTTTTTTTGCAATACACCAAAATTTGCTGAGCTCACCAATCATAAGTACTGTCGTCGTGCCACATGATATTGTAACCTGGACTACTACGTTTAATGACACGGTGGAAATGTTTTCAAATTAGGAGTCGGGGGCATATAAATACGTCAATAACGAAACACAATTGAAAATCAAAGCTCAAGTTTGACATCAACCGCACCGTTTTACCTTTTGCACACCATACGACAGCGTTCTCTTGGCTGGCTAGCGAACTAACTTTCAACAAAGACGGCGGCTCCCGGCGTGCGGTTGTCACCATGCCCTTTGGAGTCAGAGGCGAGTCGGAGCCTATCGCAGCTGATTTGGAGCAAAAAGCAAGATTACACCCTGGACTGGTCGCCAGCCAATCTCATGGCAGGGCACATCAAGCGGCAGACGAGCATTCAAGATGTCACTGAATGTGAAAACACGCCGCCTGCCCTGAAGTCAGGCACATGTCAATGTGCCACCGTCTGCACCGGGCCCTGAAAACTGACTGCACATTTCACTTTTTGGAATAATAACGCTTCGTCATTTTGAGAAAGTTGGGCTTCATTTTGCCATCGTGCATCAGATTGTCACTCGAAGGTTCGACTCTCTTACTTTTTGTTATGATGACTTTTTGTTACTCGGGGGTCTTGTAGGTGCACAGTCGCCGGGACAGGAAATGAGGCCGCTTTAGATCGTACACGCTCGGAAAAAGTGCGTTGGTGTACCTTGAGGCCAGGTACGCACGAAGACAAGCGGCGTTGTTTGCATCCCGATTTGGACCCTTGCCTGCCAAGGACGTCAAACGGAGACTTTCTTACATCTTATTAGATTGTCCTACAAGACCATGGTGTCAAAATTAAGGCCCGGGGGCCAGATCTGGCCCCGCCACACCATTTTATGTGGCCCGCGAAAGCAAATCAAACATGGCAACTTCCATGAGACTTGTGAAAATATGTACCAAAATTTCAAATTCTCATATGTAATAAATAAGAAAGACATTGTAAACATTTTCTTGTGGTCAAACACCTCATGACAGTAATTTCAACAATAAACCGTTGTTCTTGACCTCTTTATATGATGCCAGTCATAATGACCCTGCAACGGAAATGGGAACTAAAATGTGGCCCGCCATGAAACTGTACAAGACGATCAAGAGGCCATTTGCGAATGGCCAAACCGTGATTACAAACCGAGACAAGGCGACGTCGATTGGCGACGGAAAGGGCGAACACTGCGGCCTTTCAGTGCAACTGGCACAGTGCGCTCTTGAGTGATTCTTGCCCACGTTGCCACACACTGCCCCTCTTTCTCCCGTACCTAAAAAAATGGTCCAAGATTCGCCGCCTCTCGCTCGAGTTGGGTCCGTCCAGTCCCACGACAAAGTCGTCGCCGCCGAGGCCGCCGTGGGGGTGGCCGGGGGAAGCGCTCGCGGGGGGGGATGATGGATGAGGGTAAAAGCTAAATTGGCGACGCTGGCGCGACTCAGGCAGCCTCGCATTCCTTTGCCCGTTCTCCCCCCCTGCCTGCTTCACGACCACGGCGCTTCCTGTGAGGCAGGAAGTTGACCCCGCTTCCTGTCCCGCTGCTCTTTCATGTGGTCACTTCCTCGTGTTTTGCCAGCTCTGTCGCTCCGGCGTGTTTATTCAGAGCGCGGCGCTCCTGGCGGCCGACTCGCACAAGCCCCGCCGCACATTTTTTTGCTATCTCAAAGTACAGAGAATGTTTTTTTGTTTTGTTTTTATCAGCCGGTCAGTCCCGAGTGACTGTCAGATGACAATGTAGCTGAAATGTTCTTTTTGCCGCCGCTCTTTGCACAATCCGCTTTCTGCTTTCCGCCGCGCTGCGGAACCTTGGCTTTTGTAACCACGCTGAGGAATGTTGATTGTGATGACTGGCTGGCTGGGAATCCTGTCTCCACGGTTTCCTAAGAGATAGTAACACGTTGGCTGTGATTACGATTGAACTTTGCACACGGTGATTAGCTGGAATGTTGAGATTCCTCGTGCGCTGCAAGGTGAGTCGGAAACAGGGAGGGGTGGGGGGGGGGGTCAAAAGACCCTCGCCTGTGTCACACTTGATGTCGCCAAAACGAAAACATACACACACACGACTTGAAATCCCCAAACCGTAAATGAAGCCAAACGCTTACGTATTACTTCAAAGTCATCTTCACCCGACTTCGACTTCGACGGCTCCCGCGATGTTCGTCTCTGAGTCACTTCATGCGGTGGGGCCTCGAGCTACGAGTTGAATCCGTTCCTTGACGATGCTCGCAACCTCGAGGTACCGCCGTGCTGTACTTCCGTCTGGCACCCTCGAGCGCAAGAAACTGCGAGGAGGCGAGTTTTTCAGCCAATAGCCCGAGATAGGTGGCACATAAAATAACGTGAAAAACGGAATTTGTAAATTGTGAACCGACAACATGTGATGGATGACGACACTGACTAAATGAGCCATATTGCTTTCTTCGCAGCTCATGGTATGGAAGCCATTTTGTTCCGCACGGGCCAGTGGGTGGAAAATGGTGGCTTTTCCGTTTACGGGAGAGTGTTCCATTTTTGTTGGGTTTTGCTGAGCACACTTTGTACACAAGGTGAAAGAAATAATGATTCAAAAGAGGAGTCGGTGAAACAAAGAACTTCCAGATCCAATCTTGACATCAAAGCAGGATAAATGAAGAGATCAAATAAAACGGTGACGTGACAAAACGCACTTTGTCAATTACGGGCACAAATGAATGCAAGATGGTGAAGAGTTAATAATGGATTCTTTGACTCAAGGTAAACCGGCGCAGAGACTTTTCGGATCGGATCGGTGTGATGCGCATTGCAGTCGGCGTCCCCGTGAACTTGCTGTCAGTCCTCTCAAATGGCTTCATTTGAGACTTTCGTTGTGAAAATGTCATCCCCCCCCCCCCCTACTTTGACAATAAGTGAGCTGTGATTGAATTTGTGACGGACGATGGATGTGGCGATGAGATGAAGCAAACGAGAAGGCAGAGTAGAAGCCACAGATGTGATGCACAGGAGCAGGAACACATTGGAGGATGTGTGTGAGTGCGTGCGTGAGTGTGGCCGAGGCTCATGAAACACAATCGTTCCCCTCCTTGCCTCGTTGGGTCCTTAAACAAGCGTTTTGGCTCATCTGAATCCACCAAATCCCAGCAGGCTAGCGAGCTGCTTCTCTCTCTATCTCTCTCTCTCGCTCACTCTCTTTCTCGCTCTGTGGTTTTCTCAGCAGACCTTTGGCCAATATTCCCGTTCATTTGTTTGCGGTGCTTTAGTGACGCCCCACTTGTTCCTGGCACAAAAATACTTGTCACCCGGCAACGACAGTGTGCCGAATTAAGTTAGGAACAGAAGAAGAAAAAAAAAAAAACAGGATTGTGTTTCCTTCGGTGTAGAGGAGACACAAGTGGAATGTGCGTTATCAGTGTTTTGTGCATGTTAAGAGATAAGACAGTCAACGTATCGACCGGGTGGGTAAAGTATGGCCGGCGGGCCACATTCGGCCCACTCTGCTCTTCCATCCGGCCCGACGGGCGTTTACATTACGGTTAGGAGGTAAGCAGCAGCATTCTGGCCCAACTGGAGACACTTAATGGAGGATTGGCTGACTCAAGGCATGAATTCATGTTTCAAAGTGCTGTTGAGAAGGGAGAGGCTTGACTTTAGCCAGCTGCCGAAGATGAAAGAAGCGCGATTGTAACAACGGCACCAATTTGCCGGTCCAATTTCAAATCACTGACCAGTTTAAGGCCCACGTTGGAGACTGCTGGCTTAAGATCAGGAGCCAGGGGGCCCCAAGTCCGCAGGATAGGATGTACAAGGGCCACTGGGACCAAACACCATCATTTCAATCATTTCAGTTATTTGCCTGCTCCAGCCGTCGACGCCAAGTGACATTCAAATGGCACTTTCTTATCCCCCCCCGCCTGAGTCATCTTTCCATCGGTCGCGCTTGTTTTGAAAGAAGCAGCAGCTCTACGATGGATTTGCACTTGAACGGCAAGCCAAATGTGTTGTGCGTTTGTTTGAAAGGGCAAAGCTCTCACTCTGATGTGTCCCCCCCCCCCACCCCATCCTCCCTCCGCCCTCCATCTCCAGAACTCCATCAGGCACAACCTGTCGCTGCACAGCCGCTTCATCCGCGTCCAGAACGAGGGCACGGGCAAGAGCTCGTGGTGGATGCTGAACCCCGAAGGCGGGAAGAGCGGCAAATCGCCTCGGCGACGGGCTGCCTCCATGGACAACAACAGCAAATTCACCAAGAGCCGAGGACGGGCCGCCAAGAAGAAGGTAAATGGTGAATGGTGGGCGGGGAGAACACATACAGGAGGTTGGCGGTAACCACATTGCTGGTTTCCAGAGAAGTTTGCGCGGCGGCGTCATATGTCAAAAGCACTTGCTCATTTCCAGCATGCCGTTATTGGAGTGACAAAAATGTTTTCTCACCGAGCTTAACACAAATAGACATCTTTTTTTTTTTTATATGGAATTTTTTTTTTTGTTGTTTTTTATGGTACACTTGCATATCTCTTTATCTTTTTTTTCCTATTGGGGGGGAAAAAAATCCTCCGGGAGAAACTAAAGCATATCACAATCTCGGGAAGGAAAAAAAAAATGGTGCTTGCCTGTGCAGGTTTCACTGCAGATAAAACATCTTTTGAATGGGATATTTGACTTTTAAATTGATGTTATTTGGAGATACCTTGAAAAAATGGATTGCCACACTCTTTATTTTTTAATGAGAATGTGTACAACACCAGCTTTTAATTGCACATTCAGTCATGGAAAAAAAAAACGATATACAGAAGAGGAAACGTGATGGCAAAAAGCAGTTTCGGCAGTGCCACAACGATGGCTACAAAAAAAAAAGTGACTTTGGTTACCATCAGGAAAACCCTGAAAAACTCTTTTGAGCTATCTTTTGTTGTCGTCATATTTGTCGGGAAAAAAAAATGAAGCTTTAACTTGCACTGAGGATTTAAAATGATCAGGAAACTGAAAAACTAAAGGGTGGTCTTATAATTTTTTTCTCCATGCCCCGATTGGTCGACAATTGTTTCCCCTTTCATGACGCCAAAGCACAAAAATGTAGATCGAAAGGTTCATTCTGTATCTTCTGCCACCTAGTGGAGGAGTATTGCATTTTTTTTTTTTTTTTGCCTGTCACTGTACAACGTTGGCAAAAATCGTACTTTTGAAAAATCAATTCATTGCAAATTTATTTTCCTCAAGATTGCGATTGTGATTTAATATGCGATGATTTTTTTTTTTGTACGGTTCATCAAACAAAAGCAATCAATTCAGATGTATTTCAAATTTTTTTTCGCTGCCTTTGCGATTTGAAACTTGCCTCGTACCGCGCCGTGAAGACTAACAGTCTCCCCGCCTGCCCACAGCTGTCCCTTCAGAGCGGCCCGGACGGCGGCGCCGACAGCCCGGGCTCCTACAACAAGTGGCCCGGCAGCCCCAACTCGCACAGCAACGACGACTTTGACGCCTGGAGCAGCTTCAGGCCTCGCACCAGCTCCAACGCCAGCACGGTCAGCGGGCGCCTCTCGCCCTTCATGCCCGAGGACGACCTGGGTGAGGCGGAGGCGCACCTGGGCTACCCCGGCGCGCCGGGGACCAAGATGACCGCCACGCTGCCCAGCCTCAGCGAGATGACGGGCTCTTTGGGACACGGCTCCGAGAACGTCATGGAGAACCTCCTGGACAATCTGAACTTGCTCTCGCCGAACAACTCTCAGGTTGGCGGAGGGGCGGCCACCCCCGGGTCCTCCCAGTCCTCCCCGTCTCCGATGATGCAGTCCAGCCCCGGGTACCCCCCTTACAGCTCCCCCAGCATGGCGTCGCAGCCTCAGCAGGAGTACCGCAAGTGCGCGTACGGTCAAGCGGCGATGAGCGCTTTGTCGCCCATGCCCATGCAGACCTTGCCGGAGAGCAAGCCCGCCTTCGGGCCCGGCATGGGTCCGTACGGCCACGGGTCGGTACAACTGCCGGGGCTCCTCAAGGAGCTGCTGACGTCGGACGCGGACCAGCACGGAGACCTCTTGCCCTCGGTGGACACGGCGGTGTCGCAGTCCGGCGGGGGCCGCATGCTGCCGCCGTACGGCGGCGGCCAGCACGTGGCCAAACTGATGGCGGCGGGGAACGGTCACCCCCACGGCCTGTCCCACGCTCATCCGCACGCCTCGCCGGCCATGAACGGCCGTCTGCTCATGTCCCTCAACCACGGCGGCAGCTCGGCGCGTCCGCCTTCGGCCAAGAACCAGATGCAGATGGCGTACGGGCTCTCGGGCCACCTGGGCGGCGGCGGCGGCCTCGGCGGCGTGCCCGGCGGATTCTGCCCGCTCAACACCAACGGATACGGACGGCTGGGCCTGGCGCCGCCCCCCCACCTGGAGAAGCTGCCGAGCGACCTGGACGACATGTCCATCGAGAAGTTTGAGATCGACATGGAGACCGTCCTCCACGACACTCTGATGGACGGCGACTCGCTGGACTTCAACTTTGAGCCGATGGTGACCCAGCAAGGCTTCCCCCATGGGGTGAAGACCACCACGCACAGCTGGGTGTCTGGCTAGGCGCTGGGCTAGCGCAAATATAAAACGAAACAAAAAAACAGTACAATCAACCTGACTGATTTTTGCTGTTTGGTCAAAAGTTTCTTCTTCAACATTCCTGTTTGAAAACTACTTTAATCGATCACTTGAAAGATAAAAGTGCCAGCCAGGTTTTGATCGACTGGAATTGTTCATCTTTCCAAACGAAGTGCCAAATTTGCCTTAACGAAGGAGCGTTTACGCCACACCACCCTCGCTTGGGGGGGTCTGTTGAATTATCCAGGAAGGTTGAATCAAAGGCAACTGGACTCGATGGTTTTCGAAAAGGCTTCTTCAGTTGTACGCGTCCGGTAGACTTCTCCGACCTCCCCGTAGTGAACTAGAGCCGTCCTTCGTTCCGGAACTGGTCTAGCGGGGGCACAACTGACTGCCAACCAGATTCGTTTCCAAGGTGGTCCCGACTAATTTGGTCCGCCTAAGACTTCAGTTCTACGTGTCTGCTCGACAGATTCGATTCTCTGGTGGTGCCTGGACGTTGTTACGTCGTCCTCGGTTCCAAAACGTGCCTCGCGGCGTTCCGCCTGGCTGCGAACCGAAATGGTTTTGTAAGGGTGGACTTGAATAGTTTCGTTTTCGTTTCCTCCGACTTGAGTTCCAAGTCTCTGTTTGTCCACCTGACTGCCAACATTTTCAAGGTTGTGTTTACGAGTTCGTTCTCCTAACCGGTGTCCGCGGTCCACTGCTCTAGCCTTGTGGTGGCCCGAAAGGGCTTGACGTCTCTCTTCAAAGTCACCGACCCCCAGTTGCCTTCCATCCCACCTTCCTCGGACCATGAATTTTTTTTTTTTACCGTGAATGCCTGACAGCCAACACACCCAACGATCATCAGCATAAAGAAGCTGCCTTTCCGCAATTTTGCGGCCAACCGGCAAAGGTTGCTGGGGATCCCTCTCTTTGCGTCTCGAGAAGACGCATTGTACAATCAGGTCTTACGTGTGTGTGTGTGTGTGTGTGTGTGTGTGTGTGTTTGTACTGTCTAAAGAGACTATGTCGCGTTTACACAACAGAAGCAAAAATCCCAATTTGGTTCCAAGAGAAAACTGGATGCTTTTTTGAAAAGAAAAAACAAAACAAAAAAAAAAATGTTTGTACGTACTTGTTGAGCCGCTGCGTGCCCCCTGAGCATCTCTCGATCAGACCTTCTGCCTGTAAATAGCTTAAGATTGTATTGACATGACATTGTACTTGTTTTACTAGATTGTCGTATATTATATCGATATATATCTCAGACATAAATTATTGTGTTTAATATAAGATTTATTCTTGTGCAAGACCTGCATTGGCGACCTTCATACCGCAGGGGGGGCTGTTGGAGTCGTTCTGTCCTGCGGGCTGGAAGGTTTTTGTTCAGATATATCAAAATATCGAGAAATATATAGAGAGAGATGGATATCGCACAAGACAAGTCAGATCTTCTCTTCAAGGAAACACGCCGCCGTGATCTTTGACGGAGGCTCGCCTTACTCGTTCCTTCAAGAAATCCGAGTGACTGTCAATTGCGAGCGGTTCTCGGAGTGCTTTTGTGCCGCCGTGAAACAAGCCAGAGGTCAAGGCGCTCTCTTCTCAGCGCTCTTTTCAGATTCCGCAACCCCCCCGCAATCATTTGAAATCGGTTTTCGACGTGCGGCGTTACACGGGAGTCGGAGACGAACGGTTGCCCGTCCGGGAGAACGTCGTTCGCCGAGACTCCCGTTACAGCGAGCGGTTCGGTGCGGTTCAATTCATCAACATTTCAAGGTCGCCTTTCCAACGTAGAAGTTGAGAATCCGTTCTCCGCGTCCACATTCCACTTCTTGGCACTTTTGCGAAACGCATTGAACAACATAAAATTGGAGTCCGAGATCGTAATTCCGTGTGGAAACTCGCCTCTGCATCGTACCGGAAAATCTTGTTTGGAACCCTAATGGATGCATATAGACGGTAACACGCCTTCTTGTATCGTTTTAATATACTACCTTGATACCAATTCCTCTTTGGACAGAGTCATGTGGGACACAGAAAAAAAAAACGAAAGTGAATTCGTGGACCGTCCACGCCATTTTGTTTGATTCCCAACTCGACTGGAAACGTTTTGCGCGACTGAACCAAAACCGTACGTACCGTTTGGTGGAAAAAACTGGCTTGATTTTTGCTGCACATAAATACTGCACATGAAGGGGGGCTGGGGGGAGTGTTTGCACCACTACGTGTTGAGTACATCCAAGTTTATCTTACAAACGCGTGTCCATTTTTGCCTCGTCGTGGAGGCTTTTCTCAAAATGGAGGCGGCCTTGAGACGAGCTTCTGGCGCCTTTGTTTTGGCTGTTTGGTTTTGTGGCAGATGAAATACGAACATTTCAAAATGTGTTTTGTTTTGGGTGTTTATTTTTGTTGTTTTTTTTTTTTCATTATCTTGTGTTTTTGATATAAAGACGCCCTTAACGACGAAGCTGCTCTTTGGCTTTGGTGCCACAGTTGTCGCCTTTCAAACATGGCCAAACTTGCCTTTAATTGACATGTTTTATGTTTAAAAAAAATGATGATGATGATTACAAAAAAATTATATATATATATTCTGTATATATTTGTGCCGGTCACTCAAATGAATTGTTAATGAATCAACAGGGTTCACACTAAAAGTTAAAAACAAAAAAAACAATGTAAATGATATTTTGACATTGACGATGATTCAATCTATGCATTGTATTTCTTAATTTTATGTCGCTATGGTTATATTTCTTTCTCTCTTTTTTTTTTTTTTTTGGACTTCATATGACAGAGACATTTTATTGTAATATACATAGCGCTGTGTTGTTGTTTGTGTTGTTCCTGTTGACATAGTTCTATTGGGGGGGGGGGGGGGACGTTTATTTAGAGAGTAGATGATGCAGTGATTTCTATGCTAAGCTTTTGTAAACTGACAATGTCGTTCTTTCTTGTATTTAGCGCGCGTTTTCACAACCCACAAAGCCAATGACGATAGCGTATTTACGTTTCTATATTCAGACATCACAATGCAGATGAACGGACGAGTCGGGATCTTTTTTTTTTTGTCTTGTGTTATTTTATGCATTGCAAAGAAACAGCTGCACTTTGAAATCAATTTTTTTTTTTTTTTTTTGGTTTCGTATAAAGTGCAAAACGGCAAGAAAAGAGTCCCCAGATATTTTCCAATACAACATCTGTTACATTTAACTTATATACCACAGACGTACACGGGCTGTGTCCTTTGCAATCAACACGACTACAGTATGTTACTTTGTTCAATATAAATGTATTCAATCATGAATAAATGTCCTTATGTGTTGAAGCTCTGCGTTTGCTTTGCATCCTTTCAAAATACACGATGAAGGAATGACTACGTTTGAAATGATGATGGAAAAAAAAAAGATTCACATTACATTTTAAAAACTGATAAATAAAAGTACTTACAAAGTATGTTAAAAAGACCAACTGACACCCCCCACCCCCCCAAAAAAACTCAGACGGGAAAATAATTATCGAATATTAGGAATGGATTTTTTTCCCCCCATGACAATTGCCGCATTTCAAAAGTTCCACATTTTTCAAAAGGTAGAAAGCTGTACACCTCGCATACCCCCCCGTTGGTTGCCGCAATATCAAGCAAGCAAAAATACCCGCATTCGCTTTAGTGCGGCCCGAGGTTAAACTTTGATGGCCAGCTAATTAACGAGTCTGCTGACATTTCCAGGTCAAAAGGGGCCCGGCTTCGAGTGATGGCATCACAGGACCCGCGTGGAACTTTTCTGACTCAATAAAAGTTACAATTCCCACTCGCGGCGTCTCATTTCTCCTTGCTGGCTCTTCCCAACAGCCACATTCCGCAGCGTGCACCCCCCCCCCCCC